AAGTTTGATAAGTCAGCTTTTACCAGAAAAAGTGCCAGGTGCCACCCTACTCAAGATATAGAGTAGGAAAACAGGAGACAGTCATTACTGAAAACAAGTTTCGGCTACTTGAAGCTGTATTCAAGGCAGCAAATGAGAGAAATCAGACTCTGAAGAATGCTCACAGGCTTCAAGGATATGCAGTATTCTTGTGAAAGGATCTGGCTCTTGCGGATCGAGTCGAAAAAACGATGATCAGAAGCAGAACTAAAATCCAGATTACCAGCTGGAGAGCAAGATCATAAAGTAGTGGGTTTTTGTGTGGTGAGGTTTCGGCAACAAACGACGCCGAAGCCCCTATGGACATTGCGGAAACTTATTTGAGTGGTTTCGTTGTCTTGTACACAAATGTGCGTAGTCTTTCAAACAAGTGGACTGAGATTAGTAATGTGATAAGCAACGAAAGCCCTGACATCATTGCTGTCTCAGAAACTTGGTTCTCTTCTTGGATCAGTGACTGTGAAACACACCTACGCGGATTCTTCCCTTTCAGAAGCGACAGGTTGGCAAGCAAAGGTGGTGGTTTCATCCTTAACTGTAAAAGCCATAGAAACAGTCGCACATGAAAGTTGAACATGTCAACGTAGTCGTAATATATCGACGCCCTGAATGTGATGCGGCAGATTTCCTCCTGAATAAGCTGACCCTCTGGATAGATAAATGCCGATGTCTAGTTGTAGCAGATTTAAACGCACCATCAGTTGACTGGGATAGGCTAACAACAAAAGCACCGCGTAATTCGTTTGACCACCGGTTAGTGGAAACATCAATTTCTTTACCCTTATTGCGTCACATTGGGACACCAGCTAGATATGATCGTCAGCATTGTCCATAGGTTCTGGACTTAGTATTCTCACGTGCAGATGATGTGCGCTTCATCCGGCGCGTAGCACCCCTTGGCAAAAGTGATCACGCTGTGGCCACCTTCAGCTTCACAGCAGGCGTCTTGTACCAGGCCGATGCCCCAGCTAGAGGCAACATATGGAAGGCAAATATGAAAGCCGTTAACCTGACAGCCTCCTTGGAGGACCGGATAGCCAATCCAGGAGCCTCAGTTGAGAGTGCGCGGTGCTCCTTCAAACGGTTGTATGCATGAGTAACCCAGCCGTTTATTCCGTGGGCTGTCCCGAGGGGACAGAAACACCGTCCTCTGTAGATAAACCATGAAATTCGAATCTAACCACGACGTAAGAAAAAGTGTCGGAACCTTGCCACCCACCTAGGTACACCTGAAGTGGTGAGGTATTTTGAGGAAGCTCTCAATAAACGTACCACTGCTATCTGCCGGTCTCGAACGTGCCTTGAAACACGTCTTGCCAAGACTGCCTTGCAATATCCGAGGAGGTTATTTTCCCACATAACTATAGAAATAAGACGTGTTGTGGTATACCTGCCTTAATCGACGGGACGGAAAGTGACTGATTGATTGAGGACGACAGGGAAAAAGCAGAAGCCATGACTGGATGTTTTGCTGAGGTCCTCACACAGGGATCCTCTGTGGACAGTAGAAGCATTGGCATCCAACAGAACAAACTCTAAATGTCGATCGTGATAATGTATTTTGAACATTAAGTACTCTCGATGTGGAAAAATCAACGGGACCGGATGAGTTGCACATAAGGCTGCTCAGAGAGCTTGCACTCTATGTGGCCGGCCAACTGACTACTATGTTCAGATTGTCCCTCAGTGAAGGCACACCCCCCTACTACTGGAAGGATGCCATAGTAACACCTGCCCGCAGGGCACGTTCGAGGCAGCCCCCATCAAATTACAGACCGATAAGTTCGACTAGCACTGTGGTGAAAGTCCTAAAAAGAGTAATCAAGAAAGCCATCGTCGTCCACCTAGAGAGCAACACTCTATTGTCTCATTGACAGCACGGTTTTCGTAGAAATTTCTCCTGCTTGACAAACCTTCTTACAGCCAGAGAAAGTTGGGTTATGTCTGAAGATGATAGGATACGGGTAGATGTCAATAACATTGACTTCAGTAAGGCGTCCGACAAAGTACCTCATTCCAGGCTGATTGAAAAACTGAGAAGTTTTGGAATCACTGGCGGTCTTCTCGTACGGATGAGAGACTTTCTTGTTGGTAGGAAACAAAGAGTTAGGATCAATTCTCAACGCTCCACTTGGACGTCGGTAGAGAGTGGAGTGCCGCAAGCCACAGTGATGGGCCCCCTACTGTTTGTTCTATACGTACATGAGCTGCCAAAAATCACGAAATCTCCTATGGTCCTCTGCACTGATGATGTAAAAATCTGGCGTGAAATTAGAAACGATGAGGATATACGTGCGCTCTAGGCAGACCTGAACAGCTTGTTTACCTGGTCAGAGAATTGGTTGATGCACATCGATGCAGCTAAGTGTGTGAGCATGAAATTGCTGCACGCGCACGGTAACACGTACAGTACTGATGGGCCTCCTCTACCATCAGCACTGACCCGGGAGTCACGGTTGGTTATGACTTGAAAACCACGGCTCACTGTCGATTGGTGGTAGCCCTGGGCTTTAGGACTTTCTGGGCATTACGTAGAACGTTTACGAAAATAAGTGGTAACATGTTCACCATCTTATGTACATCCTTACTTAGGTCTAAACTAGAAAACTGTACACAGGCGGCCAATCCTTGTCTGAAAGGTGACGCAGACCTTCTAGAAGGAGCTCAGAGGGCAGCCACTCATATGATCCATGCGATGGCCGGCCTCGCCTACGAAGACCGACCTAAGGAGCCGAACCTCTTCACTTTGCCCTACCGCCAACAGACGGGAGACCTAATCATGCTATACAGGACTCTAAGAAATGACGTTGAACCTAGTCTGTCTTCTCTTTTCCTTCCCACTGGGTTGGAACACCACAGAGGACACGGTACGAGACCACAAATGTAAGGAACGAGCGTAGTCTCCGCAGAGCACCGGTTCTCGCGTAGAGCAATCAATGCCTGGAACCGACTCCCAGAAGAAGTGACGTCCGCATCATCGAATGACCCGTTCAGAAGGGGATTGGACAAGCACAGAAATACACTGCAAATGGATTAATATAACCCCTCAGCCTCCTGTTCTCAAACAACAAGTCTGAAGTCTGAAGTAAAAATGCCTCAATGGATTAGGAAAATACTCAAAACTGCTCTCAAAGCCACTTACTTCAAGTATCGTGTGAACTGAATAATGACCGCTTATATTAGTTACGCTACAGAAGACTTGCATGACAACAAATGGGATGTCTGCACCGATGTGATACCCTCGATGGTACCTGAACGCTTTTATTGAAAATGGGGGTCAAAACTTGCATGTAACACTGAGAAATAAATTTGCGAGGTGTGCATGTGTACTTTTAGAGGTGTTGGGAATGAGGAATTGGAAAATGTTTGCCGGATTTGAACCAGCCGCTAGACTTCGTTCTCAGCTAGGTGCTATCGTGGCTGCAGAACTACGTAGACAATGGGGAGTCCTGCGCGAAAGTCAACAGGGTCTACTCAACTCGGAGAACCTTCTCATCCGGTGTCTCACAAGCAGTAATCCTGGGTCCACTGTTGTTCCTACTGTTCGTGAATGACCTGCCGCTACATATCAGCTCTCCGATTCTCCTATACTCCGGTGACGTCAAGTTGTGAAGGGGGGCGACCTGCGAAGCGGAATCTATGGCATTACAGAGAGACCTCAAAACACTAGGGGAATGGGGAACTAATAACGAACTGGCATTTAACCTGGATCAGTGCCGGTCCATGTTTTTCCGCTCTTCTGATCCCCAGAAAGTATCCTACTATCCCTGTGGTTCACGTCTATTCCATACCGCAGTGGAAAAAGACCGAGGTTAAGCGGTGACGGAGAAACTGGACATCAGTTCCAATTACCCAGGTGATGCCTCGAAAGCATGTGGGTACTACACTTTGTGCATAGGCAACTGGGTGCCTTCACCCGGGAGCTCTTTCTGAAGGTCTACAAGACCCACATGCGGCCCATCTTAGAGGTCCATAACGTCTTCGCTCCACCACAGCTAAAAAGTGGCACCAACCTACTGGAGTAGGTCCAGAGGCAAGCCACAAAAGGGGTTGTTGGGATGCAACGAAAACCACATGAGGATAGACTGATAGGCCTAGGCCTACACTTTCTTAGCTACCGAAGGTTACGAGGCGACTTGATAATGGCCTGCAAAATACTGAATAACCCAAGTTACCCGAACAGGGGAATACTACCAAGTGGCCACTATAGAGATCCTGGAGGGAACCCTAAGAGAATAGCCCACTAAAGGTCAAAAACTCATGTGCGTTCACAGTTCTTCTCCTTCCGAGCCTGCGAGTGCTAGAGCTCACTACCAGCCGAAGTGGTCTCCACCCTAACTATTGAAGGCTTCAAGACGAGACTAGACAGTCACGCAGAGACCGATGGTCTACCCACATATGGCTGGAACACGAACTGATGTCAAGCCACCCTAACTACTTTAACTCTACAACCAGTTTTCTCTCTAGCATAACCATATAAGCCCTTTTCATTCCTTCCACTTGCCATGAGTTAGTCTCACCTAAGTTCTTCATACCTTTGCACTCATCCTCATCTTACTTGGGTGTAAGTAGATTATTCTATTAGTTCACTTTTCTTTTCCCCTTTTATTCACACGAACAATTTCTAGGTTTTCTCCTCACTATCCCCAACCCTCTCTAGCGACCAGTCCGAACAGCTGTCTAGCAACTAGACATCTGAAGGAGCCAACTGCACCACAGTCCAAGGCAAACAAACGACTACTTAACCTCCCGTTCTGTAGATCAGAGCTATAGCAGACGAGTGACTGGATCTACTGCATCGGAATCCGCCAAAGACCTGGAACCGTTCCGCAAGACCAAGAAGCGAACAAGAGGAAATCAACTGGTTTACACAAGCCCGTTGAAAAAACGTTGGATATTGAATGACGTTTCTATAACAACCGATTTGAGACGCATTCAAACATTAAGACCTATCATGAAAAATGTATAAACTTGACTTGCCGATTGATACCAAAGAGGCTGCATCAATCGAAGCTAGGAGAAGACAAGAAAAAGAGCGTCAAGCTCGTATATTCAACGCCCGTACTCGACAAATTGGGGTAAGTAACCCTTCACTATAATATCCAATACTCTAATTCAGATAGATGAAGAAGCCTTGAAACACCAAGTAGAAGAAAAAAAACTTCTGGAATTGCAAGAGAAGGAGAGAGATCTAGCATATGGTAAAGACAGTGTGCTGTTCATCATCCAAATTTAGATGCCGATGCTGTACGCAATGACAAGATTTCTTGTATTCTTGAGAAGCGTCAGCAACGAGATGCAAGAGAAATTGCTAAAAGCTTAAACGAGTTCAGAGCTCTTCATCAGCAGCCCGAGTCAAGGAGAGAGTTTGACCTTTATGATCCCAATGCATTGAAGTTAGACCATCCAGCTCGTGTTTCAGATGATGATCCTCGATGTGGAGTAGCCTCACTTCAGAAGTTTGATGGGGAAGATCTAAATCTAAAATCCAGAATGAGGTATCAGAGGGAACAAATGCAGGACTGGCTTGCCAGACAAATAGCGGAGAGAAACAGAGCGGAAAATGCCCGGAAGGCAGCAGATAGGTAAACTCTTTTTACAGTATCTTCTATCTTACTAGTTTTCATAGTGTTGTGCACATCAATCTCGAGTTTACTTGTGTTCTGTTCATTTAAGTTTCAAAACATATGTGCTTACTTCTACTAGTCAGGTTTCGAAGAAATTCATGACCATGTGTCAATAAATTATAGGAGTAACCATGAAAGCATTTAATATAAGTTCCATTTTATCATAAAAAAAGGCGCACTAATAAATAAGAGAAATTTTTATTCAAATCGTTTGCAATAAGAATGTTTCAGAAGGAAAAACACAATGATAAGCATTTACTTGGGCATTTTCAAATCTCTAAAGCACAGTTTTTTGATAAAGGTCTTACTACGCAATAATGATAGTGTAACTATATCAAATGCCCAGTCAGCATTTTCATGGGGTGAAAAAAGGGGCTTATTGAAGATTTTTAGGAACACTTTAAGCAAACACGGGGCGAAATGAACGAGTCTGCTGCGCTTCGCCAAGTTTTTTCGGGTCTTTTTCGCCCCCATATTCTGCTCCCCATTTCTCTATGAAATACTCGGCGTCTTTTCCAGTTTTCCCTGCTTATTTTTTAGATATACCGTGAGTCTTATTTTATTTAGCTTCGTGCTTCATCAATTCCCCCCCACTTATTCAACAGATTGCCTTGCTATTCTTGCCTAGAGAAGGTCTATTTGTCATTGAGGGCTACTTCGTTTAGTCTATGCCCCTCATGCAAAATTACTAAGACGAATCTGCATGTTCTTCAGTCAGCCATACTCTGCGTAAAAACATAGGTGAGACTGATGCAATACAGTGAAGTTTCATACTTTATATAAGTTCATTATCAGACACTAAGATGTTGGGCAGTTTTTCATTACAACGAGTCACTCATTGCATCCGAACTGCTTCCTTCAACGACATCGGATATCATAACCTATGGAAATCTACCCACTCTACAAGTTAGCGTAGCTATGAAAATTTGTGAAACTTACCCTGGTAGCCATTCGTCTTATTTTTCCATCTTTCTGATCTCCAAGGTTGTGAAACCAATCTTTCATAAAATTTCTGTAGTTGCTACGAAAGTTATTTTCACGTTTCGGTTACGTTAACTGGAAATTTTCGATTTCTTTGTGAAATACAAGTCACATATGCCAGTGACATCTTACTTCGAACAGTCACTTTGGTCCCTGTATGCTTAGTAAATTTCTTCAAATTCGTACCAGCCCAAGAAAGTTTGTGAGTGGATTCCTTTTGAAATATATGGCTTAACGTTGCTTTCAATGTCGTCTTCATGTTGCTGAAGTTGTATATTTCCGCATATAAAAAGGTTAGTCGGTGTATTTGTATGACTAGTATGGAAATGTTCTTCACTCAGTTCCATTTTCAGTGTTTTAAATTCCTTCACGGATGTTACGGTCGGACCAGTATCAACCAGGCTTTTGTGAGTAACTTCGGGCGTTAACACTTCTTGCCACCTTAACAGAAGGATAGTCGTTTGCATCTGCCTCCCCACCTTTTTTAGGTAGCGTTTTGGGGTTATTCAAAGCGTCGATGAGATTATTCACTATAGTTTCTGTGTCTGCTTATGGAAACGCAGTTTCTTCAGGAAGGTTTCAGTAAGAGGTGTAACAAAAAGTGTTTTTGCAGTTAACAAATCATTTACGGAGTTGATTTTCCGGCAGAATTCAACTTCATTGAAGATATATTAAGTGACCTATAGCATAGCGTGAATAAGGATGTAAGGAAAGCTTACGACGTGGGTGTACTACTAACTGCTTCCGTTTTTCAGTGCCAAGTGCCTAAGCTGTATGATAATTTAATATTTACAAGTCCAGTGGATTTAACTGCCTTGAGTAGTTCGGATTGTTGAATTGGAAGTTTAAGTTTCCTATAATTGGGGAGAGGTATTCTTTAAATATGAAGCCTTCCAGACTGGCAGTTTATCTAAGAAAAATCGATTAGAAGCTCAGTTGTAAGGGAAATATCTCTTCCTTGGTACTCCTACCTACACCTTTTAGGACCACTTCCTAAGTTATGCCGTGCCTGGAACCTAAGACGTCTTTCACAAGTTCATCATCCACTTTCCCAAAATAATGAAAACGCATACTTTGGTGAGGTTTACACTTTGTTTCATCTAGGAGTGCGTTTGTCTAAAAAAATCATGATTTCGTTTCAGTAAACTTAACCTTCTTGACTGTTGTTCCGCTGATGTGAAGTGTGATGACGGAGATTATTAAGTGGCAGTGCCAAATCCCATATATTAATTTGTTGATACGTTAACGCCTAACTTGTCATTTAACGAAGTCGGCACATTGTTTGCGATTTCTGTTGACATTCAAAATTCCCTCAAGTTATACACTTGCAACTTTATAGGTTTCGAATCATATTTGTACCTTAAGCCAATTCATAATAAACGATTTAAACAGGTTACAGCTACGTAAAAAGTGTAACTGTTTAAACAAGCAGTTTCAAAATGATCATGTTTTATGAAAGGTGAGAGCTGGTCACTACACAGTACAGAAACCGAGGGGATGAATAAGTCTCAACACAAATTTACATAATACTCGAAGGCAGTTTTTAAGACGGCAAAAGACAAAGGGAAGTAAAGAAAAATGCGGGCACTATATGAGACTTCTGAGGATTAGTAAAAGTGGAAACAAACGAGGAAAACAACACCAAACCAAACTGACTTACAGAGCTCACGAATAGGACCATTGTGACAAAATGGCTGACAATGTTTCCTTTGTGCAAGTGATTTTAGACTCCTATTGAATGTGACTGGTTTCTGTGCTGCAGAAGGATCAGAAACATAACATCTAGGTTCGGTTTCACTTCATCTTGCAAGTAATCTTGAGAAGAAAGTCCTTGGTGACGCTGTAGCTAGAACTGAGGACATATCGACAGTGAATGAACATTTAATAATTGATATACTCAGCTTCATAATTAGAAGTAAACTGATATTAACAAAATGAAGTTATCATATGCAGAAACGTTTGCTTCAGCCTGCCAGAAAACATGAAGTAGCTAAACAAAATGACCTTTTCATTATTTCTTAAAATGCTTTTAATAGAGTGGAAAGTCTTTTCAGGTTATCACTTCTACATTTCAAGTCCAGGTTTATGAAAGGCACCTTGTTTAGATTAACTGTGAATTCTTTGCTCTGCACTTAATGTAGCATAAATTATGCATGAAATCTGATATTTTCACTATATTATTTCTATGCTTCTCTAATCATCATCTTGTTATTTCATGTTAATTCACACTATAACCTGTTAGTTGTCTTGGTTTTCGTGCAGTCGTTGGAATAATTCTTGCTGCTCTCTTGAATTGCTTGGATATCATGCAATTGTCATGTGAGAAATGTTAAGGTTAGGCATGTAGTCTTTAATAAAACAATTGAGTCAATCGATGAGGTTGTAAAACGTCACCAACCGAGATATATAAGACATTTTTTATGCAAACCTAAGCAATACTGTTTTTGCTGAATGTTAACTGAAGTAAGTCTTGGTTAGATGAGGTAAAAGGTGAATAAAATACAATGTAAAAAAAATTCATGAAGTCTTCGACTTCTGGTCTCAGTTGTATCGAAGAGATGAAGGCTGCCTGACTGTGAACTTCAGAAGGATAGGAAGAAGTGAATATGAATTACACTTGTGCAGATATATACACTATTTCATTCTAAGAATCTTTAATATTTGTATTGCATTTCAGTGGCTTACTTACTCTCGTGTCATAAACTTTTGTCAACTTTTCTCGTATTCATTTTTAAACCAACTTTTCTTTCTATTCTGCCATAATATTTTTAAGAGAGATAGATATTATTTTCAGATAGTTTTGATAACTTTAGAAGTGATTCTTAGTTATCTATTCCATTTTAGAATAAGCAGAAAAATTTATAGAGTGGGTGTTGCGAACTAAACATGTTATTTCTGTTATTTCACTGTTTCATTTTCCGAGAAAATGTTTTGAGTAGATTGAATTATATAGTCTTAAAAAGTGGTATTACTATTTATTGATACTTATTTGAGCATCATCACTCACTGGGATTCAGGCACATCTGGCCGATGAGTCTCAATGTCATCTCATCGATTAGGGTAAATTGTTTCAATTACTATTGATCTGGTTGTTTAGCCTTTTAAATGACTTGCTCATATGTAGTTGAAACAAATACTTCCTGCAGTCGTTTTATTTTGTTCTACTTTTTCTTGTCTTGTTTATCAGTGATGCAAAATTCCATTATGACTCGTGTTTAATGTGATTATCTAGGTGGATTCATCTGAGTGTATGTAGGCCAGTTTAAAACTGTTCCCATAGAAATTTTCATCATCATGATATATCAAGCAACAGCTGCAGTAGATTGAAAACCTTCCAAGTCATTACGGTAGAAGTTGAATGGCACGGTCTCTTATTTTGCCTTCAATGAAGCTTTGGTTATTGTTATTGTCATCGTCTTGCATAAGAAGAAAAGCTTAACATTCAAGTCATTTCATTAAATTAAAGACGACAACTTCTGTATTCAATTTATCTCAACCAGTTTGAAATAGATTTCATTTTGCGGGAGTTGTGGAGATTTGGAATTGTTTCAAGTTGTTATTCACCATAGACTGACATCAGTTGGAGGAACAAAGGAAACCTGGGAGCACCGGACAGCTGTTCCGTCCTAGTATGGGACTCCTCAGCAGTGCGCACCCACGACCCCACCAGCAGGGATCGAACCCGCCACCTTCAGGTTCCGCGGCCAGCGAGTTACCATTGAGCCACTGCGTCAGAATCCTATGCTCCATATTTCCAACTTCTGTCGTGGGTGCACACTGCTGAGGAGTCCCATACTAGGACGAAACAGCTGTCCAATGCTCCCAGGTTTCCTTTGTTCCTCAAAATAAATCAACACCAAATTATAGTGTTCCATAACGGAACGCGTGGGGTAAATGAAGTGCCGGTCGTGGGTGCGCACTGCTGAGGAGTCCCATGTTAGGATGAAACAGCTGTCCGGTGCTCCCAGGTTTCCTTTGTTCCTCCAACTGATGTCAGTCTATGGTGAATAACAACTTGAAATAGATTTCGTTCTCATTTTAGAAGGCATCTAGCTGACAGGATGCCTTTTGTATTTTTACGAAAAAAAGATGAAATTCCATGTGACTGAACTCAAAACATATTGATTGATCATCTTTATCTGTATATCAAAACTCTTTGAATCGAATTTATGTAATACAATAAACATTCCTTGAAACATTTTCTGTATTATTACTGAAAAGAGAAGCACAGTTCATAGGTCATTTCAGTGTTTGATCACCCGCATTGTAGGGCGACACCTAACTGCTAGTAAGATGGAATTTCACCTCATCTCTACCCTGTGTTCATAAGGTATGTTTACCAACTGAATATGAGATTGCAGGTTATACATCATAATGATGTTTGAAGAATAAACCTATCTATGTTACTACTATTAAGTAAGTAATCCTGAGGTTATATAAAAAGTTTCAGGAAGACGACATCATCATGAATCATTGTCACCGATTATATACAACACTAAAATGTCAACTGAGTTCCTGAAACTTTCATTGATTACTAGCTTTAACTATAATGAGAAATGTAGACTTTGTGACAATATTCACCTGCGTATTGGAGATAAGTGTTTGAAGATTCTAAGTGGCCAAGTTTCACTCTTTTACAAAATCGTAAAAAAAAATTATTCATCTAAAGTTGTTTTTTATTCATTTCCTATTTGTTGTTGATTATAATAACTCATTTTACTGTAGTTGTTATCAAATGTTCATATTGTGTTTAAAGTTTGATAAATTGTAATGATAAACTTTTGTGCAACCTGTTGTATTTTCATGTCTATTTTGAAAAATTAACAGAACAGTTCTACTGCATCTTGGTATTTCATATTATGAAATTTACTTCTAAGAACTGTTTTCTAGTAGTTTGGATGAGATTCAAAAGGAAACATGGATTATTAATAGTTCTATGCTGAATGTTTTTCTCAGTACTAGTATTCCATCTCAATACAGCACAGTTATTTATTGCTTGTAAGATAGGCGGTGTATCTTTGAGCAATAGTGTAACTATTGTCATTCCATACTTCATAACGTTTAGTAGGACGTATATTGATATTTATTACTATTCCATTTGAACAGAACTCCCTCATGCAAAAACTGTATTCTCTGGAAAGTATATTTCTGAATATTGTCTCCACTACTCGTATTAATTCCACAAGTTGTTGTTGTATTTCGAGTCTTATTATGACATAATTACACCTATTTCACACTTTCCTCACTTTCCATTTAATGCATGAAATATCTTTGGATAACATCGAATCACCTAAGAAAAATTAGATAATCATTGGGAAGAAGTTGGTTCCTGATTTTCATTGTGTTTTTTTTAGAGTTAAATTGTAGGATCAGTTTGATATTTATACGATAGGTGGATCATATTCTGAATGATAAGAACAGTCTACCAAATTATCTTAATTTTAATAATGAATCCTCAAGGCATATTCAAGTATCCGTAAAGGTACCAAAAAAGGTTAATGAATTCAATCTAGTGATGAAATGGGAAATTGCAAGTATCAGACAGTAGTAATTGATACCCGTTTCAGAAGAGGTGGCTCTCCAGCCTCATTATCCTAGTAGATAAGGCTTTAGCATTTAAAGCTTTGAATGCTGGTTCTGGTCTCAGTACAAATACCACCACTTACTGGGGTGTAGGTGTATCCACCTCATGAGTCCAAAAATGGACGAAATGCACATCCTGGAATATCACTGTTAGTCAGAACCATGAAATTATAGCCATATGAATGAATATTGCAATGTCCAGTATATGCTAATATGCAAATTAAGAATGCAAAACTTCCTGTTTCAGAGAGTCTTCAAACGTAACTAGAACCAACTCTAGCTGCATATTCTATTTCTATAGAAGATCCTTTGTGTTTAGTTAAATAACTCAAAATCCTTCATTTTCAGTAGTAATGAAGGTAGGATCAAAACATTGTGTCAATGATCATAAATTGTTCATAGTACAGGCAAATCAATAAATACTCACCTTATATTATTTGAAAAGAAATCAAATTTTACATAACAGTTTTATGCTAATAATTATCAAGTCTGTAAGATTTCCTGTAGAAATTTTACTACTTGAAGTAAAAATTCAAGAATAAATAGTCAATTATTTTTATGGTTTATCAATGGGTTATCAACACTTTTATGTCACACCACAACACTAACTCTGAATCCTTAACCCCAACATTTTACTTTTGTTAGATTAAGAGTTTCACATAAGTAATAAAACATTGAAAAACCTGAAGGTGTTTATGCTTTACATCATCAATTGTGAGTTCATTTTTATCTTGAATACTTAGGTTATTCAATTGTCTTTCTTATTCAGATTATTTGAGAGGAATATAGACAACTAACATTTCATCTTATAAATAATTCCTCAGAATTATTCTGAAAGTTTTATTCATTTAAATCAAATCGGAGTGAAACCTTATCAATTCCTAGTATGGTTAACTATGCCCACATTCTTTACAAATATATTATTCCTGATCTATGATACTGATCTAGTGTTCCTTGGAAGGATTGAGAAAAACAAACAAACCTGGTACTTCAAGCTATTCTACTTTACAACACCAAATGAAGATAAAGTATGTCTACTTAAATCAGTATGACTCGAATAGTCAAATGAAACTATATGACCTGTACCATATCTTAATATATATATACCTCGACTGGTGAACTATGCATTGTTTATATGATATTTAATGACCCTAGAATATTTACTATTCCTTACCTTCCTTTCACAGTAAGAATTCCTTGTTCATTTGAATTACTCATATGGTTTCCCAGAAATTGTAGCTGTAAACCACCATATCTAAGAATAATCAATAAATGTCAAACAGTAAATCAGCTGTTTTTTACACTTGAAAAAGGAAATAATTTTTCAAAATTTTGTTATTTATTAACAAATAGACTATATGATCTTAAAAGACGAGAATTAGATCAACGTGTTTGTGAGCTACAAAAAGCTGAAGAACAATGTCGACGAGCAATAAATGTAGCACTACAACGTTATAACAAATTATTAAAAGAAGAAAGTGATCAAAGATCTCTTCTTAAAGCTAAAAAAACACAAGATGATAATATGACAGAAATATGTAATGCAATTTACAGTGATTTACTTAGTGAAAATCCTGAACAAGCTATATCTGCTTTTGGATGTCATCGAATAATACCAGACCGTTACAAAGGTATGACACCAGAACAAAGAGAAGAAATTCGTCGATGTCAAGAGGAACAAATCAAAGAAAAAGAGGTATCATTATATATTTATAATTGATGTTGTCTTTCTCACTTATCCCTTCATTATGTATATATTTTATTTGGGATAGCTATTTTTGAGTTGAATTACCTAGGAAGGTGATTTTTTAAGGTAATATCCACTAGGAAAAAAGGCCCTCAGTGGCCAGACTAAAATATGGCACCAATGTATGAAGTGTCTGACTGTTGGTTTGAGCCATGTAGGATGATGCAGATTATGTGTTTAGGGTCAGTGGGACAAGAGGAACCAGTTGGTTGGAGACTCTATGGGATATGGCTGAGAACCGATGTCAGTGGCGCAGATGTATACACACATTATCCTCATCTCAACGACGTTATATCGAATCTCACCATTTTGTCACTCCTCTTTCCTTTCTTCTCAAACTTTATATTTCTTTTGACTGCATTCACTTATCTTCATCCTTCACTTCACTACCTTTCTACTTGATGAACTTACGTGAGGTGTGTCAACTCAGACCGTTACACAGTAATGCCTGGTTCTATGTTGATAATGATGATAATGATGATGATGACTAGGAAACACACACTGTTAAATATTATTCATATTCTCTGTCTTTTCGATGTATGTGCTGTAGTATGTTCACGTGGACTGGTGGATGCAATTCCAGATGATATATAATAAAATCTATAGACTGTTGTTTATATGAATGAGAAGACTAACCAAGCTGGATAAGAAAGTGATTTTTAATGTATTTTCTTTATTTGCTAATTAACTACGTTTATAACTTCATCTGCATTCAAAATTAGACCTGCATTTCTTCATAGCCTTTTCCTTTCCATATTTCGATTTTTCAAATATGTCACACAATGGCAGTGTGAATAAAACAAACTTGACTAAGATATTAGTGAAATTAAATATCTCTACTGCTCACTACTGGCTATTGCCACCCTAAATGACAGTTAACTATAAGCCTTCATACAACCAGATGATTCAGATACCTATAATTACTTCACTAGTAAACTGTCCTAGGGAAATCAATTAATGAAGATAAATGTTTCACTCTTTGGTGTATTATATAAAAGTATCTAATATACAGAATAGTTTTCATGCATCAACTGACTTATTCGTATAGAAGGATTCTCATGAATCATTGATTTTGGAGTGGAAATACTTCAGATAAGATAAAACTGTTGCTTTGAAATACAAAACGTAAAATGTTAAGTGCCACTTGATGAAACATAATTATTCTATGAAACATGGTTTTTCTTCACTTTCTATTACACAGCCAGTGTATAGCATAAAGACCTACTGCATGAAGGTAGAAATAACTAAGCTATGGAGTGACTGCATGAAAATTTAGTAAAATCAAGTTTTACATCTTAGTATAATCAGTGTAGAGTGACTGTAAGACTTGTTATCAAGTCATATCTTAGAATAAGACACTAAACCATTTACGATAACACTAATCTTGTGTGTATGAATGTTAAATACCTCCTGATATTTTCAATATTCGTAAGAAAATCTAACTAAAACCGCCCAGATGTTTAGTCATATAAAGTGGTCAGTTTCATACTTGCATTTGTTAATGTAACGAAACAGTACCCACTGAACAAGGTACGGAAGAAGTAACTCCGTAGCGTGACTGATATCCTCCTGATGTTTGAAGTGTTAGATGGTGTTCGCGAATCTCAGAGGAAACACCAGTGGGTGAGTGAAGATGCATCTGGCTGACTTGTCACACATCTGATGAAACATGAGTCGTGGCTTCCACTGCTAGTCAGTATGATGTCAGGTGATTTCAGAGTGTTAAAATGGATTTATTTCTACTCATTCCTCTTTTGTCTACTCATACATATTTACCACTTTGGTATGGTTTTGCGAGCGACTGTATTTCACATTAAATGCTTTTTTAACAGTTACTATAAAGAGTGAAGATTATAATTTCACATTGAAAAAAATGGGTGGTGTTTGCAGACTACTAACATTCAAAAAAGTAGTCAAGATATTATTCATAGAAATGCTGAGTTTAGTTTATCTTCACATTGAGAAATGAAAAAGCTGTATAGCCACGAATGTCTAGGTAGTTTTACTTTTGTTTCAATTTCACGATGAAGTTGTAGTTCAGGTGTTCCATGCTGTTTCTACTACGCATCAACCTGTTTTTTACAGTGACTATGATGGTTTAAACTGTTGCGAACCTTAGAAGTTCATCAACCAAGCATCTCGAAACTTTCTTCATGTCAACTTCACTGCATACTGTCAAATAAACTGCCAAATGAGGTGAAAGTCAAAACTCCATCAAGTTCTTACCTTATTTTCAGTTTCCTTCACTATACAAGTGTAAATTGTCATGAATTATTATCAGCACATTTGTTAAGTAACTGAAACTAATTACTCATGTCTGTCGAATTGTTTCTATTCAAGCGTGAATTAGCCAGACAAAAGCAGGAAGATGAAGAATGGGATAGTCAAAGATTAAAGTCTGCGAGATTAGGAATGTTATTGGAAAAAGAGATTGAAAGATCAAGTCGTCAAGTGAAGCAACAAATAGCTGAACAGAATCTCAAATTAGCATTTGAACAGAAAGCCTTTCAAGAGTATCTTAATAAAGAGGTAGGTTTTGAAAAGTTTTCTTTCTATTAAGTTCTCTTTTATTAGTCAGGTATATATATACTTTAATTGCCATAATTGCAATTCAGCTTTAGCAGATCTACTTTTCAATTAAAGATATTCAAATTACTATGAAAATATCTTCATCTTCATTTCATTTGAAGTCTCTGCCATTTTTCTATAACTTGAAATTGTTTCTTCTAAAAGTGAAAGCTGAAAACTGTGAGATATAAAGTAATTCAGTTATTCGTATCAGATTAATATTCATCACAAACTGACATCAGTTGGAGGGGCATTTAGAACCTGGGAACACTGAATGACTGTTTCGTCTTTATATGAGACTTCCTAACAGTGTGCACCCATGACCCATGACCGTGGACCTTTAAGTTCAGTGACCAGTATGCTATCACTAAGATACTGGGTCATGGGTGCACATTGTTGTGGAGTCTGATACTAGGACAAAATATCTGTCCAGTACTCTCAGGTTTCCAGTGGTTCTTCAAATAATCTCAGTCCATGATGAACATCAACCTGAAATTAGTCAATAAATCTCCAGAAATCACTAAATTGAATAATTCGGTTACATTTATTAAGAATGTCAAAATCTTGAACATTCCAAAATGTTCAAAATTATTAAAACAAATAACTGTGTAGTTATTTTCAAGATGTTAATTTGTAGCAGGATAACGAATCAACATAGACATATTGCAGCAAAATCATTGTATAGAATTATTCCTTTTACAATAAACTGTAGATTTACAGAATAATTTGATCTAATATGTTTATAATATTATCAATTGGGACAGGTATAAGTGTGGATTTGTATTATAGCAGGTGTGAAGATAAAAATATATCAGAGGACATAGAGTACACTGTAAGCATTTTTACAGGCTATCAGCATAAACTCCACTTATCGACTTTGAAAAGGTATTTGACAGCGTCGACCGAGAAGTAATTTGCCAGGCAGCTACTTCAACACTACAGTTTTAGTGCCGCAAATCTTTATCAACCTCATTCAGCAGCTATATGACAGTGCAACATGCCAAGTGAAGCCTTTGAAGTGAAGACAGGGGACAGGAGTAAGACAAGGCTGCTACTAACATTCACCAATCATCTTGCTGATTGTGGTGGACTGAATTATGCAGCAAACCGTGAGGAGTGAGAAGAAGGGCATACGTTGGACTACTGAAACGGGCCTCGAAGATATGGAATTCACCGACGACTTATGTCTAATGTTTCACGAACTCGAAGATCCACAGGCAAAAACCAACAAGCTGACTGAAGAGGCAGGACAGCGAAGACGGGACTTCAAGTGAATATAGAGAAGACAGAGGTGATGAAGATACCCAAACAACGCCACCATCACCACCACCACTACCACCACCACCACCAACACCAACAACAACAACAACAACAACAACAAGCTCAAATCAACATCAATGGCAAAAACTTAAAAGAAGTAGTCTCTTTCACATATCTAGGCAGCACTGTTTCAACTACACGTGACACAGGCACAGACGAGGACATCAAAGTGGTCACGATCGAAAAAGCAAGACAGGCATTCATTAACCTGAAATCAGTGTGGACATCTTATGCACTCAGCATAAAGCGTGAACAACATCCGGATTTTCAATGCAAACATCAAGTGAGTGTTGCCATATGGTTCAGAGAGTTGGTGGCGCGTCACGAATAGCATTTGCAACAAACTACACACATTCATCAACAACTGCCACATACACTCACTCAATACTGAAGATGAGATGGATTAGCAGAAAGAATAAGCAACGAGGAACTCTGGTTGGTTGGCTGGCTGGCTGGCTGGCAACGAACCAACCAACAACCTATCACTCAACAAATATGCACTGTAAGGAAGTGGAGATGGATTGGATGGGGCATGCACTGAGAAGGCCGACTGGGGAGGTCAGGCACCAGACCCTGTAATGGAACCCAGATAGGAAACGATGATTTGGGCGTCCGAGGAGAGGGTGACATGGAGGGGATCATGTGAGGAAGAAATGAGAGCTTGTGGGCAGTCGTGGATTCAGGTTGGAAAGAGTGCAGCGAACAGAGTGAAATGTAGACGTGTTATTGAATCTCTATGTTCCACTTGGAATCCAAGGGAATAATAATAGTAATAATAATGATCATTCGCAGTTTTCTGAGTCTTTTGATGTCAGATATCCTTTTCATTTTTGTATTTAAAGAGGCAAGAGGTAGGTGTTTACATATCTTCAGTTAATCCATATGTAGGTTGTTTTAGCCAGGGCGGTAATCATGATTAAAATATAGTGAACTGAAGTTAATTGAAAATGTTGAGAAGGCAAGATGAAACACTGACTCTTTTTGTACATATAAGTTCAGTTTCTCATGACAGATTACTATTGCTTCTGAGTAATGTGGAAATCTACTGTCTTTGTTCATTGGTTACCTTGATATCTGTGTTTTATTTGATGACACGATATGTATACAATGTGTGTTTATCAATGACACTGTTAGATAGCCTTACACCTCTCACTAATAAGAGCTTTCCCATACATGTTCAGACATTCATTTAGTAAGGACGCTCTCCTTTCCTTCGATACATATACTACTGAAATTACAAGTAAATCAAATAGATACACATTAAGGTAACATGAAGAGGTCTCAAATTGATTTGTATGAATTTAATCAAGTTGTACCATTAAACTTGTAAATATTTGTTGCTATTTTGAAACATATTTCTGTTGATTTTTGTTTAATACTATACGTTTTCGTAAATTTATACCTATTTATTTTAGTTATATACAAACCAACCAACTGGAGATTATTTTACTCAATTCAATACAACATCACGCTGAAAATGGTGTGCTACAACTTTTGCTGCTGCTGCTGCTGCTGTTATAACTACTGATTTATTGTATCTTAGCATATATTAACGTTGTGATGATTAAAAATGAAACAAAAAAAATTGTTTAAAATAGGCAGAGTTCATTAATTTATTTCTTTTTATCAGATTGCAAGTAATATTCATCTTTAAGATTTGGAGAATTAAACGCTATGCATATAGATATATGACCATGTATTGTTGAAGTTATAATACACACTATCAAAGTGTATAAGTGATTAGGAAAAATTCTTCTATCTTTAATCATTTAGAGAAATTTTCCCCCCAAAATTGAAATAGAATTCACTTTTAATTGTTTATTATTTTTAGGTAATATTTTGTTGTCAGGAGAACTTTAAATCGATTTAATTTTGTTTCATCAAGTTGTCTTAATCATCTTCTAAAATATTTATTTGAATATAGTTGTACTACTTATTATTCTTCTTCACTTTGTCTACTATGAAAACAAGATAAAGTGATACTGTAAATGAACCATAATCAGTCCATATATATATATATATATATATATATATATATATTCTTGATAAGAAAAATATAACTTTTGTCCTAATTGTACTGATGCTCAAGACTTTATAGACGTTAAAGATAGAAGTCTTGATAATAAGCAGAAAAGTTTTCTAAGATCATATGGAATTAAGTGTCTAGAGACAGACTGAACTGTACGAGATCAAAATATCTGTTATGAAAGGTTGAACTTTCTACAAAAGAGAAACGACCATCTTTTAGCTTGTGTATATGCAATATGATGATCACCTTTGAAACAATTAGTCCCTTTTATGAATTCGGATATTGTGATTAGATGATTAAAACAAAGGTTAAGATCTACTGTTAGCAAAACGTACTATGCAGCTAAGCTTATCGTAGTTGAGAAGACGATTGTGTCACATCCCACTCCGTTTACATATGTATGTGCACAAACATTCAAAGGGAGGACTAATCGTGATATGTACTTGAGGGTAGGGGAACATGTTCCAAAATGGCAACAAAAGTAGCTGAATTCACAAACATTGATAAGTGCAGATGGCAGACAACCATCATCATCTATTGCAAAACATATCATTCATAAGGGTCATAGGGTTGATATTAAAACAGCCTTTACAATTTTGTATAGAAACTGTCAGGGGCGTATACTTAAGTTTATGAGACGCTATCCATAAATAAATAAGTTTAACCCCACCCCATTCTGTGTGCAAAAGCACTTTGTCCTTATATTAAGCCTACCTTGGTAATGCTTATTTTATTTCACATCTTATCTTTTTTCTCCTCTCATTATCTTTCTTATTATTGAATTCCTTTATGTCTTATTTGTCCTCTCACCACTTCCAGTTTTCATATATAATCACTTAACAAGTAAATGTATAGTCAGATTGTTCGAAATGTATAGCGCTAATACATCACATGATCACTTTTGCCAATTACTAATACTGTTTCCTCAATCAAATTATTAGAAATTGCTACAGATTAATCTGTAAGGAATGAATCAGTTTCGATATGAATTATTTCGTTGGAACCGCTATTAATCGACCTTATCGCTTGAAATTCTCTCTCTCTCTGTTTAGCAGATGAACAAGATAAGGAATTCTACTCTGCCATTTATTGGAGACATTGCACTTGTATGAATCAATAATGTAACAAATAGGAATATACATGTTTTCGTTAATTTTTGAGGTAGCCAGTGTTTGACAGAAAAAAAAATCCGAAAGACAGATACTTTTAAGTGTTTCTGACCAATGACATCACAGTCGAACGAAGTCAACAGAAATCTTTATTGGAAGAGTCGATGGATGTAACGATAATGACAGTAAACTAGAAGTTGTTGTGTATTGTTACGCCGTATACAGAAATATGCCAAGTTTTACACTTTAACTTATATGCGAGCCATCATTGAATAATTATTTGACTTTCTTTAAGCCGTCAATTGACAACAGCAGGGACGTACCATTATAACTGTTTATCTGATAGTTATCATCAAGTATATGATCTGTTTATTATTATTATTAATAATATTATTATTCCCTTGGATTCCAAGTGGAACATAGAGATTCAATAACACGTCTACATTTCACTCTGTTCGCTGCACTCTTTCCAACCTGAATCCACGACTGCCCACAAGCTCTCATTTCTTCCTCACATGATCCCCTCCATGTCACCCTCTCCTCGGACGCCCAAATCATCGTTTCCTATCTGGGTTCCATTACAGGGTCTGGTGCCTGACCTCCCCAGTCGGCCTTCTCAGTGCATGCCCCATCCAATCCATCTCCACTTCCTTACAGTGCATATTTGTTGAGTGATAGGTTGTTGGTTGGTTCGTTGCCAGCCAGCCAGCCAGCCAACCAACCAGAGTTCCTCGTTGCTTATTCTTTCTGCTAATCCATCTCATCTTCAGTATTGAGTGAGTGTATGTGGCAGTTGTTGATGAATGTGTGTAGTTTGTTGCAAATGCTATTCGTGACGCGCCACCAACTCTCTGAACCATATGGCAACACTCACTTGATGTTTGCATTGAAAATCCGGATGTTGTTCACGCTTTATGCTGAGTGCATAAGATGTCCACACTGATTTCAGGTTAATGAATGCCTGTCTTGCTTTTTCGATCGTGACCACTTTGATGTCCTCGTCTGTGCCTGTGTCACGTGTAGTTGAAACAGTGCTGCCTAGATATGTGAAAGAGACTACTTCTTTTAAGTTTTTGCCATTGATGTTGATTTGAGCTTGTTGTTGTTGTTGTTGTTGGTGTTGGTGGTGGTGATGGTGGCGTTGTTTTGGGTATCTTCATCACCTCTTCGCCTTAAACAGATAAGATGTGTTAATGCTCGTTCCATAAATATCAGTACAGATTAATGTTATACAGTAGTTGTTTACCTTGAGTTTTGACAAATTTTATCGATGGGTATATGTAATGCATTGATTCATACTTAATTTACGTGATCATGTAGCCGAGAAGTGGTACGACCATCCTGTAGCAAAGTTTATATCTCCTGTTTCTTTCGTAATGATTGAAATTATGTGTTTAAAGAATAAGAAAGAACATTGCACCAGGTAATCGATTTAAGTTCAAATAAGAACACTGAGACTGGCACATTCCTCCTTGTCCTGTGGTCTTCCTCAGCCAACGGAATAAACCTCTACCGCTTAGTTTCAATCCAACCAAGACTTAGTTTCAAAACTCGAAAATGCATGCATATGATTAGCCAAACTTAATCTATGTGTTTTCTCGTAACTAGCGCATTTTCTGTTTTAGGTACCTACTATATGGGTAGCTTGGAAACTTCAACTTCAACACTCAGGTTCTCACTGGCCATTGGTAACCCTTCAGACCCCTTACCCTCTTACTGTTACTATTCTCAGATCATCTTTCATCTTCTCCAGCTTAGCAGCTCCTGGTAATGATTCAAATTTATGCCACCAACCTAGCAATACAGAGGACAAACGTAGAGTTTAATTGTTTAGTGAGGTTTTAAAACCTTACCCATACATTATTAGAATTCGGATAGTAATGTTGCATTTTGTTGTTGTATCATTTTCTCTTCGCATCTTCAAACAACCTGCTTCTACTTTAAACGTTTTTCTCCCTTTATCTTATTTCCCTCTACCTTGATGAGCTGATGCTTGATACGGCAACTTGGATCAGTACATAGTATACTCATATCGCAATGTTGATATTGACTGATTGAAATACATGCAAGTTTACCAACCAAGTAGCTTTGTCAGTCTTATTCACAACAGTCAGTTTTTCGTTGTGAAATAAGTTGATCTAATGGGATTTCAATTTTAAAGTGGTTTTCAAATCAACAAAAGTGACCATTTGACCTGATGTTGTGACTGGTCAGATGATTGGGAAATGTGTTGAGAAAGGCAAACTAGTCAACTGTGTAGCAGTAGTAGTACTAGTCAACTCACGCGACTAATGTCACCGTGCAATGCATTGAATAAAGCTACCTGAAAGGATTGAAATGATATAAATAAATAAATATCTTTATTCTCAAGTTATGAAGTTAACATGAGAGAAGCCAGTTTGCAGGTCTCATCAGATTGATAACTGCAGAGAAACATAAAAGGTTTCAGCAGTATTGAATGATATAGAGGGAGGACATTAAACTCTATCATGATACCAAGTGTCTAAATATTATGAAAATAGCGGGAAAATATCACTTTACAGTAAATACACATCGTTCTGAGTTTAAGTCATTTCTGCTCACAATTCTTTCTTCACATCGAACGGCGCAATATTTGGTGTTTGCGTTGTGAGTAGTCGACATGATTGACCCATCTACAAGACCAAGTGTTTCGTCAGATAAATGTCTATTTTAACAGTAATTCTTACGTTCGTAGATATCTGACCTATGTGAACTATGTACAAGTTATGAAGAAAGAAAAATACAACTGTGAACTTTAGTGTGTTCAAAATAACAGGAAGTTGTGCATCAACAAACAGTAGACACTATTTGGTAAAACAAAGTGTCCAAATCATATTAATATACTGGCAATGGAAAGTGATGAATGTATACTTCAATAGAAACTGTTGTTATCATCTTGTCTTACTCGGTTTTTGGATGTTTGAACTTGATACAATTATTTTTAAGCTGGATAACCCGTTGGCAATAAAGGAGGATAAATATAGGATAACATAGGAGAGTAATACGCCTTAAACCATATAATGAACATTCAAAAGCATTTATAATGCTTTCTAGTTTCACTAAGCTATTAAGCAAGACATAAGTAAAGGTTAGCAGCAGTTAATTTGATAAAGAATGACAGAGTTGATAAATGGAACCAGAAAGAGTAGTTCAAACTGTTGCATCCATCACTGTGCAAAAATACTGTGTGAATTGACTCTTCTGAATATTTTTTAGGAGTTTTAATTGGTACTGGTTCCCCTCCATCATGAGATGAAAAAGAATGAAATTGGATGTGGATTTGTTGAAACGCGCTATGCAAAAGCATCAAAGTTTC